TCCCCCACGACCAAGCATTCTGATCCGGCATATGGGCAACTGTATGGTCGATAGCTGCACTGAGATTCATGCTTCAGTTTGCTGTAGTATGGAAAGATTTCGGGGCAGCCTAGCGAGCCATATTTGCAAGGAAGCTCAAGTGATTCGGCAACCTTCTCCAGTGCTAAGCACCTGATGTCTCCAAGCTCTTGTCGACAAGTGGGGCATCGGTTGTGCACCCTTGTTTTACAAGTTGAACACAGTGTGTGCCCATTTTGACACTGCAAAAATAAGCTACTAATGAGACACAAGTTTACCGTGGATGCAAGGAACTATTGTTATTTGTAGGTGACAATAAGCTTGCTATTTGCTTACTGTAATCATGAGATTACCGAAACAGATAGTAAATATATGTGTATACATACATGCTAATAAAAAAAAATCACAGAATCATGAATGATACTACCCTGACTGGAAACATAATAGAACTGCAATCATATTTATCTCTATTTTCTGGATTATGAATTGTCTTTATTTCTATAACCTCAAAATAGTATTTACTTAATAGGAACCAACATTTGAAAATTATGTGCTTATAATCATGACAAGGTGCAGCAAAGGACCCTACACCATACTAACTTCAAATTAAATAAAGTATTTGAACCAATAAAAGTAAGTTGACTCGAAGACAGATTCCTTACCATTTAGAAACATGTTAGGAGAGGATATCTAATTTGTTGAAACAAAGGTACTAGTAAGCCTGATATTCCCAGATATAAAGTAATAACCATTCTTAATAGGAGGAAACCAGCTTTCCTAGAAATAATAAAACGATGTCTGATTTTTTACATAATCCAACTATACTACCTGATATATAGATAATCCACAAGAAGCTTATGAAGTTCGTTAAATCTGCACATATGATGCATGAGCACTAGAGTTTGATGCTTGGATTGATCAGATAGGTTCGTTTGTGTTCATCTAATCATTATTTCAAACAAAAAAATTACCCAAATAGACAATTATGTATATATATGAAACACAAAAAGAACAAACATTACATAAATAATTTCTCTTCCTTGTTGAATAGGTTAGAAATGCTAGTTGCTTGTTTGTAATTTATAATCATGATATGTAACTATATACTGTAGCTTTATAAATATATATGCCCAAATAATTAACATATGTTTTGTGGGAAAAAATTCAAGATAGCAGTCACCTGCAGATCGGACAAGAACATTTTCTGCATATAACATAACACCAATGAAGTTAATCAGAAACATAAACCAAATTCAGTTGCTGACACACGATGTAAGACTACATGAACCATCGGATGTCCAGTAGATCACATGACCAACACACTTTGAATGATTGTTAATCTAATACTCTATTTCTCATGACCCAAGCTTGAAACCAGATAATGCTCTCCCAAAAAGGAGTATTCATAAGTTGGGGATGGGTTTAACTCATATACTAATAAAAGCTTGGTCAATGTCCAATGTGAAATCAGATATTACAGTTATAGCTTTAGCTAGAACTCAGCTAAAATATGGAGCTGGCCTGGCCTAAATATGCTAGCAAATATCAGAAGTATGTATGCAGCTCCACAGTAATACATTAGATATCAAGAACTATTCCCAGAACATGGATCCATGGATTAGTTTAGAGGAATCAAAAAGTTCTTTGAAGTATCTTTTCAGCTTCAAAAATAAGATAGAACTCTAAAGGTTATATTTTTGAAATGGCAAGAGCCAAATGCCAGAACAGAAGGGATAAAGAAACAAACAATGTCTGATCAACTTTATTTAGATGCCTTATGGCCATATGCTGTCTAGGCTTTCTCAAGGACCATGCCAAAGTATTAATGAAAAGCCTGAATCAAGAAGTCCTCAAAATTCCGCACACATCCCAAATATCCAACTAGAACCATTTATAGGATCAACCAATTCGGCCAATGCTCTGATCCCATGCCACAATCAATAGCATAATTCTCTTTTCCAAGAATCATGGCAAATATGCAAAAAACAGAAACAAAAAGATAATGACCCGAAGGTAAAAAAATCATAATACAGCAGAATCGTTAAGCACCAGTACTCAAATATTGAATACTTTCAACACACATGCGGCAATTAATTATCCAACTTCACTAAATAAAACATAAATTGTTTGATTACAAAGTAAAATCATCAGTTTTAACATAGAATCACATATTGTATCACTCAAATGCCGAACGTTATCAGGATTTACAAGACAGAGGCACAAAACAAAATTTGCCCTAATCACCTCACTCAAATAGCCTAAATCGTCAAATCTTCAAAACTCAAGAATCCACACACATTCCAAATAGCCAATTAGAACCAAAATTCCAAGGCTTTAAGCTTGAATGAAGATTCATCCATATGATCAACCAATTCAGTCATTGACTTGATCCCGTGGAATTTCAAGACCACAAAAAAAAGCAAATTTTCTTTCCCAGAAATCACAGCAAATTTGACAAGAAACAGAAATATAAAGATAATGAACATTGAATACTTTCAACAAACATGTGACAGTTAATTACCACAAAAGAAAGCATAAGCTGTTTAATTATGAGGTAAAATCATCAGTTTTGTCATAGAATCGCATATCGTATCGCTCAAATGCCGAACGAGATCAAAGATTACAAGAAAGAAGCACATAGAAACGCAACATTTGCCTAATTACCTCACCCTAACAGAATAGCCAACCAAGATCGCTGCTTTAATCCAAAACCCGAAACTATCATTCTCAGAATCAAAACGCAAGAATCATCTAATGTGTTAGGGGGAGAAGGGAATCAACCTGATGGATCGGAGGGTACATGGAGTTGGTACAGACGGGGCACTCGAGCAGCTCGTGTACGCTGGTGGCAGGGGCAACACCGGGGTGAGGGCCGCCGCCGACGCCATGGGCTTTGGAGGATGTATGGTGGGGGAGGGAGGTCTCCTCGTCCATCCCGTCGATCGACGACACGCACTCGATGCCGTCCGAGTCCATGCATCCAGCGGCGAGGAATTCGTTGCTCGCACGCCCACCCCTCCACCACCTCCTCCTCCTCCCCTGTCCGCTCTTCGGTCCTCTGCCTCGAATAGGGTCGGAAACAGAACGAATGGAAAGCCACTGGAAGGGATTTCAACGAAGGAAGACCAGATTAGGTAATCCAGAGAGGGACAGAACGAGATTACAACGGACGAAGACAAGATTAGGAAATCCAGAGAGAGAGAACGGCCCTTCTTCTTTGACACTCCGAATCACCCGTGGTGACGGGATCACCGTTATTTTTCGTTTGAGCAATTCTTTTTGACACCAACCCAATAACCACCCGAGTTGTGATTGGGGAAAGCACTCCGGGCCTACATCAAAGGTATTACTGTGCCCATAAGCCGACAAGTGTTCCGTTTGGGCTTCTTGTTACCATAATCAATACGGCCCACTTCACT